CTGAAAATCTTCATCTTCCATACAAGATTCAAGATTTTCCCTAATTAAGAGTAATTTCAAAAGATTATCTGTATAAGCTATTATTTCAATACGCGATGCACTGACTCTAGTATTTACTAAAATTCAAAAATTCTCGTATAAATTCCGAAAATAGATTATTAATTACGGTAAACTACTGAGACGGTTTAATTAAGGGTGGGCATGGTGCTGCTTTAGTTTGAAATGATTTATAAACACATAATTAACAGAGGAAAAACCGTGAAACGGCAAAACGTCTACATTCTAATTGTTATAACATGTAAACAGAACTTTAAATTTAGTGTAAACAGAAAAAATATATAATACAATTTATTTCACGGTATTGCAACAAATAAACGTTGAATCAATATTTAATTCGTATAAAAACAATTATTTAACGTAATAATTTTACCTTCACTATGGCTATTTTAAATTTACGACCAAGGGTCAACCTGATTTCTAATCCTTACGAACTTTAAATTCAGTCTAAACTGAGAAAATATATAATACAATTTATTTCACGGTATTGCAACAAATAAACGTTGAATCAATATTTAATTCGTATAAAAACAATTATTTAACGTAATAATTTTACCTTCACTATGGCTATTTTTAATCTACGACCACAGGTCAACCTGATTTCTAATCCTTACGAACTTTAAATTCAGTCTAAACTGAGAAAATATATAATACAATTTATTTCATGGTATTGCAACAAACAAACGTTGAATAGATTCTTAATTCGTATAGAAACATTTATTTAAAATAATAATTTCACCTTCACTATGGCTATTTTAAATTTACGACCAAGGGTCAACCTGATTTTTAATCCTCCGAACTTGATTTCACAACGAGAAAGTAATAAGATCGTTGAAACGTACTTATTTGTCAAAGAAACTTGCAAAAATGTATAAATAATAATATGTAATGTTTTAACAAATTTTTGGAAGTATAAATTAATAATAAAATTGTGAAAATTAATAAATTATACGTTATTATAACATTAATAGAATTATGACTAAACCGAAGTTCGAAGTCGAGTATTTAAAGTCTGATATTACGTGCCTAGCGAGTGCCGGTAATTGTTAAAATTTGTTTAATAATTAGTAATAGAAATTCTAATTGATTCTAATGTATACAAGTGTTACAAGAAGGCTGAGTGTGTACAGGGTGGACATAGACTAGCTAGTAGCCCCCGACCACTCTATTCACATCTCAGAACCTTCAGGTCAAAATATGCCGCGAAGTGTCTAGGGCCCAGTATAAAGGGTGAATAAGTTGGCGGGACATCGCCGGGTCCATATATACCTGCGGTACCCTCTCCCCAAAGTCATTAGCAAAATCGTCGGTTAGGTCAGGCGGGAATCGACTATTTTTCGCGGGAAACCGATTAGTTTTCGCGGGAAATTTCTGTTCTTAATTTATTACTTACAACAATCTATTATAACGCTACATAGAATCATTTATACGTTTCTATAACTTTATTCAATGGATAACTACGTTTCAATGTCCTCGTTACTTACTGGTGGTTTAATTAATTTGCTAAGGATTAAAAATCAGGTTGACCTGTGGTCGTAGATTAAAAATAACCATAGTACAGCTAAATTTATCGTGTTAAATAATTCCTTTTACACGAATCAAAAATGTATTCAACGTTTGTTTGTTATAATATCGTGAAATGAATTATTTGTGCAGTTCTGTGCATTTTCTGTGCAGTTCAACCTAATTTACTAAAATTCACATTGCGAGACAGTATACTGTAACAAGTAGTAACAAGCAAACGTTGAATAAATTCCTAATTCGTATTAAAAAAATTATTTAACACAATAATTTCAGCTTTATTATGACTATTCCTGATAAATGACCACAGGTCAACTTGATTTTTAATCGTTATAATCTTTAAATTCAGTGTGAATAGAGAAAATGTGTAATATAATTCATTTCACGATATTATAACAAACAAACGTGGAATACATTTTTCATTCGTGTAGAAAGAATTATTTAACACGATAAATTGAGCTGTACCATGGTTATTTTTAATCTACGACCACAGGTCAACCTGATTTTTAATCCCTACAAAATTAATTTAACCACGAGTAAGTAACGAGAACGCTAAAACCTATGTTTCCATTGAAGAATATTGTAAAAACGTATAAATTGTTATATGCAATGTTATAACAAATTGTCGGAAGTATAAATTTATAACAAAATTGTGAAAATTGATAAATTATATTTATTTCATGGTATTGTAACAAGCAAACGTTGAATACATTTTTCATTCGTGTAAGAAGAATTATTTAACACGATAAATTTAGCTGTACTATGGTTATTTTTAATCTACGACCACAGGTCAACCTGATTTTTAATCCCTACGAAATTAATTTAACCACGAGTAAGTAACGAGAACGCTAAAACCTATGTTTCCATTGAAGAATATTGTAAAAACGTATAAATTGTTATATGCAATGTTATAACAAATTGTCGGAAGTATAAATTTTTAATAAAATTGTGAAAATTGATAAATTATACCGTGTTACGATATCGGAAATCTCCCGCGAAAATCTCCCGCGAAAATTTCCCGCCTGACCTAACCGACGATTTTGCTAATGACTTTGGGGAGAGGGTACCGCAGGTATATAAGGACCCGCCGATGTCCCGCGAAATCATTTACCCTTTATACTGGGCCCTAGACACTTCGCGGCGTATTTTGACCTGAAGGTTCTGAGATGTGAATAGAGTGGTCGGGGGCTACTAGCTAGTCTATGTCCACCCTGTACACACTCAGCCTTCTTGTAACACTTGTATACATTAGAATCAATTAGAATTTCTATTACTAATTATTAAACAAATTTTAACAATTACCGGCACTCGCTAGGCACGTAATATCAGACTTTAAATACTCGACTTCGAACTTCGGTTTAGTCATAATTCTATTAATGTTATAATAACGTATAATTTATTAATTTTCACAATTTTATTATTAATTTATACTTCCAAAAATTTGTTAAAACATTACATATTATTATTTATACATTTTTGCAAGTTTCTTTGACAAATAAGTACGTTTCAACGATCTTATTACTTTCTCGTTGTGAAATCAAGTTCGGAGGATTAAAAATCAGGTTGACCCTTGGTCGTAAATTTAAAATAGCCATAGTGAAGGTGAAATTATTATTTTAAATAAATGTTTCTATACGAATTAAGAATCTATTCAACGTTTGTTTGTTGCAATACCGTGAAATAAATTGTATTATATATTTTCTCAGTTTAGACTGAATTTAAAGTTCGTAAGGATTAGAAATCAGGTTGACCTGTGGTCGTAGATTAAAAATAGCCATAGTGAAGGTAAAATTATTACGTTAAATAATTGTTTTTATACGAATTAAATATTGATTCAACGTTTATTTGTTGCAATACCGTGAAATAAATTGTATTATATATTTTTTCTGTTTACACTAAATTTAAAGTTCTGTTTACATGTTATAACAATTAGAATGTAGACGTTTTGCCGTTTCACGGTTTTTCCTCTGTTAATTATGTGTTTATAAATCATTTCAAACTAAAGCAGCACCATGCCCACCCTTAATTAAACCGTCTCAGTAGTTTACCGTAATTAATAATCTATTTTTGGAATTTATGCGAGAATTTTTGAATTTTAGTAAATACTAGAGTCAGTGCATCGCGTATTGAAATAATAGCTTCATCCCTAGTTCGTTTATTATTGAATATTTTTACGCGTTTAACTTATGCTTCTCCCCAATTCTCGTCGCGTATTTTATTCAAATTTTCTTATATTCTAGAATCGAAAAAGATACGAATTCGCGTTTTTTCTTTTGATTCTTTCAATTTTTCAATTGCATTGCGCATTATTGCAATAATTTCTATCGTTACATTTAATTTTAATTGTTTAGCAGCTTTTCTGCTGCTATCGACCCTACATTTTACTGACACTTGTGGAATCGATCCTACATTTTTATTTTTTACGTGGAGGTAGGCCGACTCTATGTGATAAACAATTGGCAACCAAACGGTGCCTCTCCTTCTACATTCGACGGATAATGTGTACTGGTATTTAATGTAATTTCTTAGCAATTTGTTTTTGTAATTTATCCAAAGCGATATATTATGAAATTAAATTAATCACTCAATAAGTTTTAACGTTAGATTGTTTCCTCGATATGGCCATGGTGGTCATCAGTGACTGGAGTGCCTCAAATGTTTAGAATAATTAAAATAAAATAAATGTTGTCAACTAAAAATTTTGAACGTCATAGCTAGCTAGACATTATTTTCAATTGAAAAAAAAAAACTATAAAGCATAATACTGTAATCCTATGCTTAAAATATATTTTCTTGTGGCCGCCTGACAGCAACCTGTAAATCTGGCGTGACAGTAACGTGTTAATAAGTAAATGTTGTTCAAATTATGTCGTGCTTTATGTCATTTTCATCAGGAAAATCTCACCATGTTAAAAAAAATTCCAGATGAAAAAAAAGTAAAATTAAAGAAATTATATTTTTCTATTATGATTTGTGGAGCCGTGAAATCTCGTAAAGGAAACCGACTGGTGTAGCGTTACACGCTTGTCTGACTGCGAGCGAGATAACATGGACGCAGCAATGACACAGCCTAGGCGTAGGACCATCTATACTGTCACTTGTAGAATCCAAACTTACTGACTCTTGTAGAGAATTTACTGTATTTCCACGAATTGAAGTTTGCCCTCCGCGCAATTTCCCAGAGAACAGGTGACTTCCCTGATTTCTTTGTCTCAGATGAATAGGAACAACCCTTTACCTGCACGGTATTTTGCTACGTGCAACAATATTTTACTACCCATCGATTAGGGTTTCCCCCTTAGGTAGACGGTTTTGTACAGGTTTCCCTCTCCGCGGGAATAGAAACATCAGCGACGTAGAAGAATTGTAAAGTCCCGACGAAGCGATGCGAGAGAATAAATTTACCAAGGTAAAGAACTTACCGAGGAAGCATGGTACGAAGACGACGGTATAGAGAATAATAAAGATCACTTTTACGTCGGTTCTGTTAAAAATGTACTCCTCGTTTACTGTTACGTTGTCCGAGTGCGAAAAAGTTTCGTTGCCCATTGAACTTTTGTTACAGTCTGTCATTCTGAAAAAAAAATGTACAATCGCAGAGAAAGAGTGAGAGGAACGGTGTTATTAACCCTTGCACGACGAATGCAGGGTCATTTTGACTCAACAGCGGTAAAGTTATTACCTTTGGTACAGGAAATACACCTATCTTATGTATCAAATGTAAATAACCAAGAAAAATATAAAATATACAGGGTGATAGATTCAGTACGCTAAAATAAGAAAAACAGTTCATATAAACATATGCCCGATGCGACTTTGTTTCCGAATTATAGCCGTTTTTGTCTTCCAGTAATTCTTACGACTCTGTTGACTGCTTCTTTTAATTATTTACAAGTAACGCTTTTTATCTCATGCACGAGCTTCTGGTCTGCTATATAAACGCTATTTCGCAATTTGTTTCAATCAGCTTAATCATGTTCTTGGTGGTAACAGCACGTATGGCAATTTGCTGATACATTTTATAATAATTTCGAGTGATCGTCTAATACCTTTCAGAACAATTTCAATGATAATTTACATCGATACGTTTGGAAGCCCGCATTCTAGCCGAGGGTCACCACTTTGAACAATTTCTGTGAAAATGATTAAATAACAGGTTTCACATGAAAACGGCTACAATTCGGAAATAAGCTCATATCGGGCATATGTTCATACGAACTTTTTTTCTTATTTTAGCTCAGGGGTCGGCAAACTGCGGCCCGCCATTAGTTGTTTTATCGCCCGCCAGTTATGTTTGTGATCCAAGAATCAAATTCACTATAACTCAGCACTGACAAATGAACATTTACAATCAACTTTGACGATAGGAAATACAAAGTTTTAACTACAGTTAAATGAAATATTGTCGAAAAAGAAAGAATTCCATATTTCGCATTAATAAATTGATTTGTCAAAAAATTTTTATTTGTAGTGAACTACCTACATACATACACACGTAATAATCTGAATTTTCTCTCTTGGCCCACAAAGCCAAAAAATATTTAGTATCCGGTCCTTCAGAAAAAAAGTTTGCCGACCCCTGTTCTAGCGTACTGAATCTGTCCCCGAGGTTATGCCCACATTTTCGGAAACAGCCTGTATATAGTTGACAGTATACACATTTATACCCAATTCCTTCTTGAAACCCGCGTACGACAGAAATTTTGCTCTGGGTCAAAACGACCTCCCGCGTCCGTCTAAAACCATTCGCCTTCCGAGGGTTAATCTATAAGCGTGGAAATGTATAAACGCAGAAATTCCAGTTATACACCATGCCCGAAGCGAGGCGCGTACCGCAATTACCGCAGTTTCCGCAGTGGTTAAAGCGAAGTTTGATCGGCTTTGAGCATCAGATGCGATCTCTTAATCCTATCGGAGTATGTCAGTCTAAATAATCGTGAATCGGATAGCACTCGTCAGGCAACGCTATCCCTACAGGAAAGTGACACTTGCGGTTAACGGAAAGCCGATAGAAACCTGCTGTTACATGTAACAGTTGACAACGCGAAGCCGTTTAGACGTCGAACGACGATAGTAAACTTTGCAAGCTGCAGATTCGAGTCGTACATTCTACAAAGTAGCGAAGATTGGATGAAACTTTGGCGGGAATATTCGAACGACTCGGGTGCAAAGGGAGAGAAAACTCGTTTGAAGTTTCGCGGAAAGGAAAAGCAAAAGAACTTTTCATAATTCTTTGATCGCTTCTTCAACAGGAATCGCCTTTTGACGAGTCGATTAATTCTCAGATACGATACGCGGAAATTAATGATATGTCACGAAGCAGCTGTGAAACTGAACGTATCGATTTCCGTTGCTCTTTGCATCTCGTCTACTACGCCTGCTATATATTCGCGTTGAAAATTTCGCAGTCACGAACGTGCAAACAGGAGAACGTGCCGTTGCATGGCTTTCCTACGAAACCCACCTCTGTCCGTTCTTCTTTCCCGTTTCGCTGTCCGGCTAGAGACACCGCCGTAGTCGATTAAAGCCACCGAAATGGATAAAACATGACTGCGTTCATCCGACGAACTCGTATTATTTCGTCAACAGGTGTGCAGAGTGTCGCATCGTTTGCAGATAACAGGACTGGTCGGTCATTAATTTCTTCGTTACTATTTTTGCACTGTACACATACGATTCATAGTACATGCGCGTAAACACGTATTTTTAAATAACACCGGCTTCTCGATTCGCGATAATCACCCGTGTGGTATATCCGACGATCAATCTTCACTTTATCAACGATACCGGTCGTTACAATATCTAGAAGAAATTTCGTAGATGATATCGCCGGATTGACGTATTTAATGCGTCAATTATCATATACGTACGTATACTTGTGTGCGGACATATCTTAAAGCCGGACCGTTAATTAACGGTGAATAACACTCGTAGTTAAAGTGAACAGCGACGAAATACGAGTTACTTTGATGATTAAAATACGTCCAATCGCGTAGCCCTTTTCAGGATTAATCGCTTGAATTTTCAAAACGCAGCATCCTGTGCCCGCGGTGTCGCGTGAAACGAAGCCACTTGTAAAATTGCATTTCCGACCGGGTTCTATTACAAATTCCATCGGTACTGCCTGGAGAGTTACAGTTCGCTTGTGTCGGAGCGCACGAGGATGCTCGTGAATTTATTACATCTCTGTGGGAATCGTGGCGAATAATAATCTTACCTTGGTTACTTCTGACGAAAAATCTCAGCTGTCGTTAAAATCAACGGAGCCTTTTCGATTCTTCTACGTGCATACGTACGAATCGTCGTCGTGTAAATATTATAGGAATACCCGAACTTGTAAACCCAGCAAGGAGCTTCTATTCCTCCGCTTATCGCGATAACTTGATTCAATTAGGTCGAACTCCATAGTGGGCTTGTTCAGAGACAGAATTATCCAACTGATTCTCCGATAATCATTATCCGGTTGGGAATCGTCGATCGAATATTTTTTAATTACTTTCCTACGGATCGGCGTAAGATATTAGGAGAAATCGCGGTTCAACGCGGGAACCTCTCGTTCTTTCCTTCTTTCAACGAAAGAGCTGCGAGCTTGGTCGAACGCGAGAAGGAAAGTGTGTAAAGAATGAAAGGGGTTGAAGAGCTGAATTGTTTTTCCCCACGGAAAATGCGTGTTGGTTACAAACACGTATGTTTGGATATGGGAACGGAGAGTAAGGTCGCAACGACGACGTCTCCGTTTCGCGCGGCACTGAAAGCACAGAGCTTTCATTCAGAGCCACTAGCCCGCGAGCTGACCGAGAATCCTGGATTTCGCGCAGGCGTTACATCCTCTTCTCTTCGTTTCTTCGTCCCGTGTGAAAACTGAAGAAAATGAACAGAAAAAAGGAACATTGTAGCTTTCGCATATCTTGCGACTTGCGTTCGAGTATGGAATTGTAATTTGAAGAAGTAGAGAAGATGAGCGAAGGGAACAGGTCGAATTCCACGCCGATTTCGTTAACGCTCGCAGATACGATTACCGTCGAGTTATCAAGAAAGTGGGGGAACTGCGATAAATACGGACAGTCAAGGCTTGACCGATTTCTTAAGACTATATTCTCAACAGACTCACGTGTCAACAGTCTCTCTTCGATTTTCCGCGATTACTCGCGAATGTTAACCCACGTGGTCGGGATTCGTGTTTAGAATTTTCGAGCATCAGCGGAGCATTGTTTCTTTACGTGACATTAATAATTCAGCTCGTTTACTGTGAGAAACGCGACGGTGTGTGTGTGTGAACGTTATGTAAAGATTTAACGTGCATAAGAGAAAAGTTATTGCATCGAGTATCCAGCATTGCAGTGTGACGCGTCGAAATAATTTTCAAGCATGCTGAAGTATACGACGAAGAGCACGATGTTTCGCGAGAGAAGTAAGTTTACGACATTTGGGTCACGTGCTGCGTCGCGAGCCGCATTTCTCTAAACTCTCGTCGTACTATCAACAGAGGAAGAGGAGTTTTAAGAATTCAAGAAATACTCCTGTGCTCTCTTTTTACACTTTTCCAGTGGCACGATGCGGCAAAGACTCTTTCTACACGTACACGAAGCGAAGGTTGCCGATTTTGTCTTGGCTCAGAACGTACAAGCTCACGTGGCTGCCTCAAGATGTATTGGCCGGCTTCACGGTTGGTCTCACCGCTATTCCGCAAGGTATCGCTTACGGTATCGTTGCTGGATTAAGCCCCGAGGTAAATTCAAGCGAGCCATCGCGTGTCGTTTATATCGTCTCTCGTGTTCACTCATTTTTCACCCTTTCTTCCCTTAGTACGGTTTATACGCCTCTTTCATGGCATCCTTCGTCTACATTATTTTCGGTTCCTGCAATAGTATTACCATTGGACCAACAGCTATCATGGCGACAATGGTCCGTCCTTTAGTATTGAATTACAGCGCGGATATGGTTGTGCTACTTTCCTTTTTGAAGGGCTGTATTATAGCGTTGCTAGGCTTGTTCCATTTGGGTGAGTAGAGAGTAGTAATGAACGCGATGCAAGAACCAAATAATATCGTATTCTCTTCAGGTTTCCTCCTGGATTTCATTTCGTTGCCTGTGATCACGGGTTTCACAGCGGCAGCTGCCATCAACATAGCCGCTTCTCAGTTCAAACCGTTGTTAGGGATTCCTGGTAGAAGCGAAGATTTGGTAGATTCGTTGATCTCAGTTTTCTCGAATCTGAAAAAGATCCGCTATCAGGACACGTTGCTCGGTACAGCGACGATATTGGCTCTAGTCATATGCAAGGTACGTACTTGCATACAGTTCCAAGGGGAGTGACACGATGCGTCGTCGGCTTACTGTTCCGCATTCCCTTCTATCGAACTAATTTTCACTTTGACATGTGCACAAGAACTTGCCGGGACGTCGAAGTGGCACTTGGCCACAGAAGATTGCTTGGATCGTCGCTCTTGCGCGTAACGCCCTGGTGGTCATCGTAGGAACTGCCATGACGTATATCTTTTACGTGAACGGGCAGGAACCGTTTCAGTTAACCGGTGAGAGGGATAGAAAAGATGTTTAACGTAACGTAAAGGCGAGGGGAGGAAATTCGGGAAAGAGAAACGAGAGAGACATTTCCAGGATCGATGGGTAATGGATTGCCTTCGTTTGGACCGCCACCATTCACGATCACCGCCAACAATAACACGTACAACTTCACTAGTATAGTGACTGCGATGGGAACGACTCTTATCTCCGTTCCAGTTGTATCTACGATCGAGCACATGGCGATAGCAAAAGCTTTCGGTATGCTATGTATCAAACGGTTAAACGACTGTGCAATTACGTATTATAGTGTATAACAGCGGATGAACGTTGCACGTTTAGCAATGGGGAAATCTTTGGACGCCACGCAGGAAATGTTCGCGCTGGGATTGTGCAACATGTTTGGCTCGTTCGTTCGGTCAATGCCAGTCACGGGTTCTTTCACTCGAACTGCTGTCAATCATTCCTCCGGAGTTAAGACCACATTTGGAGGTCTTTTTACTGGTGTGTACTGTGTACTATACGTACATACATACATACACCTGTGTAATACGAAATAAACTCATCCCGTATAAATTTTTCCTTACAACGACGATCGTTTGTTTCAGGTGCTCTCGTGTTACTTGCATCTAGTCTCCTTACATCCACGTTTCGTTTCATTCCTAAAGCCACTTTGGCCGGCCTTATTATATGCGCTATGTACTACATGCTCGACTTTAAAACGTACGGTGTACTATGGCGTGCCAAGAGTAAGTAAGTTACGTCGTGATAAATGACACAATTTCAATTTCAAACGCTGACACGACTCTATCTTTTCCCAGAGATCGACTTTTTCTTAATGCTGATCACCTTACTGTTCTGCGTGTTTCTGAAACTCGAATGGGGAATTATTATCGGTATAATATTAAATCTCGTAGTATTGTTATATTTCTCGGCACGACCGCCTGTCTACACCGAAATCGAGCAGGTGAAATATATAATCTGTTAATTATGAATTATTATACGTTGAACGTACAGTTCCGAGTCTCTATTTAACATTCCAGCTGGAAGATAAATCCGTGATACGGGTTATGCCCGAGGAAACTGTTACGTTTCCAGCGGCGGAAAATTTCCGAGCCAAGATAATGAAGCTTTCCGAAGAAAATTCGTGCGATGTTCTGCTCGACTGCAAAAATTTGAAGAGGATCGATATCACGGTGGCAAAGGTGAGCCTTTTTCAACGGGGGCTTTGCCTTTCTCCTATTCTCATTCTCAGTCGCACAAATCTCAAAGGTGAAACTTGGAAAACTCTTCTGTTCATTTTGTAGAACCTCAAGCTGTTGTCCAACGATCTGCGGCTTCGTGGACAAACGATCGTCTGTGTAAATTGCCACGATAACGTTGAAGCTGTACTGAAAACCATTGCTCCGGACCTCCGAATAAATTTATAAAAATTTCAACAGGTGTATGAAATCGCGTTGCGTGAAATTTCGTAATAATAGATATTGTAACAACATGCATGATTTAACGTATGTAGATTGTAAACTCTGAAGTATAAGTCGGAAACAGATGTCGAATCTGCACGTCGGTCGATAAACTTTAACGAGAGTAGTTCGTATGTATAAACCGTTTAATCAATCATGCTTGCAAGGTACACAAAATACTGTTGTTTCGACGAAACTTTGTCGTTTGAAGGAAAATTTCAAAGGACGAAAGCTAATAATTATCGACGATATCGATGTTTACATAAAGGTTGAATAATAAAGGAGAGGTACACGTTAGATGTTCGAGATAATACCTGGATCGATTCTGTGAGTGCTTTCCATATGTTCTTCCATAGTTTCTTTGTCTAGTAATATCCAGTAACAATATTTGCAATATTGTCGTCGATGAAATTTGATGTGCGTGGATAGAGAAAGAAGCGTGGCAAGTTGCTCGTGGCAGAAATTGCATTCGAATCTTGACACCCGTTGCTTCGAAAGCTACGGTAGACCAACAAAAATCATCGATAAATAAGTGGATGTTGTAAGAACGACGATTAATCAACTTTAGATTCGGAGTCAGAGTTGAAGTCACGCCGAGTGTCACAATAATGAAAAACAACGTAATCACTTACGTTCATCGAGTCGTCGTTTTCGTCGAATTTCTTCTTTTCCGATATGACAGTGTACTGAGGCAACTTCGAATCTGAATTTTGCTTCCTCCGGAGCTGTAGAGGTAATACGATTGGATATTTTCCTTCGTCTAACTGAAAATACGTTCTTTACTGTAAAAATTTACGATACACTCTCTGTGTTTATCTGTCTAAACTTGACGACAATCTGAACGTCTAATGGCGCCAAATATCAACCACCGATGTCAATCTAACGTATATCTATGTACATACGAATCACGCTGAATGTTAAAAAATATTAAAAATTAAATATTCCCAGAATTTTAATATTAATTACCTATTTTTCAACTTCCTCGTTATTTTGTTTTAATAACGAATAGTTTTCAAAATTATTGTACGATCCAGATGCAGATTGCAACGATAGTTCGATTCATACCCGAGTCGGCGCCGAAATTACACGAATCAAACACCTGCGCATGACAGTTACGGCCTCGTTCGTTGCTTCTGAACTGTGCGTTTCGAATTCTCTCCTATAATTTTTGATTTTTTTCCGTTGGAAGTGTAAATCACGCGGAAATATATTTACGTTTCGATAGCAAAGTGTACAGTGAACATGGATATAGTAATGTTAAGTGCAATTTCGTTGGAATTTTCCAGAGAATTCGTAAAAATGTGCGCTTGATCAAATGTGGCATCATGTTCGTTTGTCCTGCTAGTAGAGTCATCTTCGTTTTAAACGTTCTCGACTGTCGTGCCTTTTCGTGTAATTTTTCGTTCCAAAGACACAACGCGTTCGAATGTTGAATGAATTTAAAACGGGCATAATCAAATTTACCGTGATTTGCGAAGATTTCCTGTTGGTTGCATCGCAATTTTTTTAATTTTTCCCGCGGTTCAAAGTGACGCCATGTTGGCTCTTTTCACCGGTAACATTACCTTCGTTTCAAAGTCTTGGCGTATCATTGCGATTGTGTTCGCGTTAACGAAATGTTATTTAATAACTAATTGTCGTGTAAATTCACGAATAAAACAAACAATTGTGTTGTTTGTTTCTGCGAGACAAGTGTGTGAAAGGAAACGACAACTGGTACGAACAGATAAGAGCATCGTTACGGCGTACCTTTCTAGAACATTGAACTGGCGGCCGAATGTCGTACACAAAGTCTTTTTTCGTCATCTTCTCGCTAATGTTTCGATTACAACGTAGATTATACTGCATGGCCTCTCCCGACGTCCAATCTGACGATGAACTTCTGCAGTTTTGGTGAGTGTTCATATTTTATAAATGCCACCATTTTTACGCCAGTCATATTTTTCAATGCTCGTTTGTTAAACCGCCTTATACACGTATAAAACACGTTTTTATGAAAAACAGTTTATTACGAAACTTATTTATTTGTCATAATGATAAATTACAGGTAACCCTTAAATTAATAATATTATATATCTTCAATAAAATCGTATCGATACAAGATTTTCCTAGTGAAAACGTTCTTGTTATTTGCTTTTGTTACGCGTTACTTTGTAGTTATTTTTCATAGTCAATAAGAATCTGTATTTGCGTGTTACCGAACGTTGCGCATAATAAAAAATTAAAAAAAAGGAGAAAAAAGAAGTAAAACACGAGCTAAATCGCGTCCCTAACTTATGCCTCGTGACAACCTGCAAGTTACTTCAAACGAAAAAGTTTATACTTTGATCATTAGCTGTACTGTGTGATAGTCGTAAAGAATAGGGGAAGCAAGTTCTCGCGTACTGTAGCCATTAACGTTCTCAACCACCGTGTATATCGAGTAACTACATTTAACAAATAAATAATCGTTTATGCTATGGCGTGTATGATTAATTGCATATGACTAGAGACACACACAAAGATTCGTATCGTTTTTTTTTTTTTTTTGTGTTTTATATAGTTCAACGCAAGAATTGTTTCGCAATATGTAGTATGTATATGTATGAAGAATGAGTTTTGAGAAGAAAGGAAAAATTTTCATGCTCAGAATTTCTCTGTTTCGTCACACGTACACGCTGTTAACATCCGGCGCAAATTCCAGTAACCTTCGTAAACACTCGACGCGTATAGCGTATACACATGTGCATAGGCCTTCAGCGGTGAAATAGGCATTCTTGAGGTCGTTGACCTTGTAAACGTGTCTAACAAAGCGATATTTCGATACTGTATTTACATCGATAACACAGATTCTTAAACGTGTTCAAGCTATTCCCTTGCTATAAAATAAATCACGAGGACGTGGTATCGCAAAGCGTAAAATGAAATAAAGATTTTATTTTCTGTAAAAGTGGTGATATCACTGCACGAATGATTCAGATGCTATTTAGATGAGCGTTCAAGTTGTATTTAGATTCTCTGTTGTTCCTTATAGAGGAATCTTGATGTAACAGCAAGGGTGCTCTCTCTTGCCGAACTTCGGGAAGCGTAGCTAGCTCTTGAACAGGGCTTCGTTGCCAGAGGTATATATTTCTCGTGGCCGCGTCTTGATAACTCCTTCTCCGAACCTAAAATTTCATCTTTATGTAAAATGATTGAATTCAGTGGAAAGGGGAAAGGCAGAACATACTTCTCTGTGATGCAGTTCATGCAGGTACAATGTAGACAGAGACATGTCGGCAGCAGTGATCTCTACCGATATAGAGAGATCGGGAGGTAATTCGTGACTCGATAAAAAGGTAGATGCGCCCAGAGATTGGTTCGATAAGCCTTGTTGCAATCCGTATAAGAGTCCTTTGTCGTTATAAGCTGGACTTTCAGCCTTCCTTAAGCCGTGTTGAACCAAATGCGACGAATAGTCAAATGTCATGCTCGTAGATTCGCCTCCAGCGGTGGCGGAAATGGTCGAGGTACCGGGTTGATGAGCGAACACGTTACTCATACTCGGTCCGCTTATTTGGTTCACCATTGTGCTTCGAATTATATTCGATACTATGTCGTTGTACTGGAATCATTCACATAGTTCGATTAGATAGAAGGTTAAATATTATTAAAGGAAATGAAGATTTTTCCAAATACTTACACCCGGTCCCAGGCCAGACAGACTATTTAAGCTAGTTAGAAGAGGGTTCATTTCACCACCGTGTATTCCACCGTGTATACCACCGTGCA